TGGAGGCCTGGAGGCCTGCTGGGTCGTGGCCTAGTGGGGGGGGTGCTTTCCTTTTTTTTGTTAGTTTAGTTTTTCTCTTTTGTATTTTCTTTTATTTATTTACTTTTCTGTTTTAAATCATTTTGAATCATTTAGGCATTTTATAAAAATGTGTTTACTGCACCATATTTATCTATGTAATATTTAGTACAGACCGAACATTTTTATTTTAATGTTTGAAAACTTTTATTATTTACTAAACTTTGAATTTGAATTTAGGACCGGTTTTGATCTAACGATAGATTAGCAGCAGTAACCGTGGTGATGTGGCACCATTAGCGTGGGATCACTGTAGCTTAATTATCCGGGCGTCACACATGCCAAGATCATGAGAGACTACTTTGATCCAAACCAACCTAACTGAAGAAGTTCTAAAGCATTGATCATTGTCTTTGGCCTCGAGTACTTGAGGGCACCAATAGAGGAAGACACCCAGAGGCGGATGACTAAGAGTGAAGCAAGAGGATGGCCAGGGATGCTTGGATGACTTGACTGTATACACAGGACATGGAAGAATTGTCCTACAGGGCGGAAGGGTCATTACAAAGGCCAATGCAACGATCCAACGATCATTCCCGAGGTAGTTGCATCGAAGGATCTCTGGATATGGCATTCATTCTTTGGTTTGCCTAGCTTTCACAATGACTTGAATGTGTTGTTTAGATCACCACTATTTTCTAGGATTATTAGAAGCGATGCTCCTGCTTGCAACTACTCGGTCCACGGGCACAAGTACTAGACGGGTTACTACCTTGCGGATTGCATCACCAAAATCGCTTTGCAATTGTTCATGGCACTGCCGAGTACTAGAGCTCCAAGGTTCTATGGTGGATCATGACTTGTTTCATCATATTGCACAATATGATCATTGAAGACAACAGGGATATGCCTGAGAACATTCGTTACATCACCAATGGCACTCTGATTGAGCCAGAGTATGATACGGACATGATCTTGGCATTCCTTGAGGAGCATCGCAAGACGAAGAACCGACAAGTTCATGCTCAGTTACAACAAGAACTTATTGAGCACCACTGGCAACGTCTTAGTGAGTCCTAGTTGTTCTATCGCATGCTATTTGCTACATTTGGACCATCCAGTGTGTTTAATTTTGAATAATTCAGTTTGTATACTTTGAATTTGATTTATAAACTATATTCGTGATTTGCTTGAACATTCAAATTTATGTTTAGTTTCTATAAGTGTGCTAATATGTAGTTGCAATGTATACCAGAATTGCAAAGTTTAGGAAAATTGAAATTTTACTCCGTTATATATAGGGGATCGGCTAGGTCCGGCCAAAACTTAGTAGAGTAAATATATTCCCCTAATGGTAAACTCCACTACTTTTTGGGGATCGGTTAGGTCCGGCAAAAACTTAGTAGAGTAAATATATTCCCCTAAAGGTGTACTTCACTACTTTTAGGGGATCAGTTAGAAATGCCCTTATGTGAAAGTGTTATTCTAATCCTTCCTTTTGTAGGGCTTTGGAGGGAGACATGGACTAGGCCGGGCCGGGTTTGGTGTTGAGTGATTGATTGGCTAGAGCCTAACTAGAGGTAGATAGCTAGCTAGGGTTAGATGCGGAGATGCACCCTCTCTGGCTTGTGTGAGCATTTCATGATTCACATGGTAGAGCAAGATTAATAATATAGCCGGCTACTAGCTCTATCTTTGTGCCACTTCATTTATAGCCAACCTAAAAGCCTTTTCATATAATAGTTTCTGGCTCTAACAATAGGTAGTTAATGCTTGACCCCACATTTTTTTCTCACAAAGTGTGTTGGAGCTCGTGCTGCAGCTGACTACAAGTTTACGGTCCACCCCTCTTCTCTCTCCTCTCCTCTCTCCTCCACATCATCATAAATCAGAGGTGACAACCCTTATAGCCCGCTTATGTCACCCTATTATACTTGCTCGTATGTGACTGAGCTGTGACTCGTCAGTGTGGTTTGCTGACTTTTCAGAGTAATACCCCCTTCGTACCTAAACTAGCCTACCAAAACAACTTATATTTAGATACAGAGAAAGTATATAATTGGTTTAAAGAACTACAATTGTTGAGAATAAAAAGTTGGATAAGAGAAGTCTACAAGACTCAAACGTGCATGCATGCCCACGTCGTCGGGTCAGCTCAGAGCACAAGTGAATCCTCAATCTAATCAAGGGATAGTAAAACTAGTTGATAACCATGCACAACCAAATGAAATGAAATTCATCACGTTTTTGGGGCGATCCTGATGCCCCTGACGACCAGCCCACTCTTCCAGTGCCCACCGTCCTGAGACAGGGTGACCACAAGCTCCCCACCCTGCTGCCCCTTCTCCACCTCAACATCCCCTACCTTGAGCGGCAGCCACTGGCCCCTGGCCTTCTTCTCTAGGCTCTCCTTGCGCTCCTGGGCCCTCGCCCCGGGGAGCTCGAGCTGGAGGTCGACGGGCACCTGCCACCCGCCGCACCCCTGCTTGAGCATCACCTCGAAGGCAACCTCGTAGGTGGCCCCCGGCGTGAGCTGCGACAGCTCCAGCTTCCCGTGGACCTCCAGCGACCACACGTTCTTTAGCTCCGCCACCTCCTCTCCCGCAGCGTCGCCGGCGCTGCATGACAGGTTAAGGTCCGCATCGATCGATCAGTGTGCGATACTTGAGCATGATTAACTACTAGATAGCTTTACCTTCCGTTTCATTCGGTAAATTTGGTCCGTAGATGTAGCAAAACTCAGATAGCACGTACCTTCCTTCTCCCGGGGGTGGGGGCAGCCAGGCCCAGTAACTGGGGTTCTCCGCCCAGGCGATGGACAGACCTCGAGGGAGCAGCATGAAGCAGCTGTTGCCCTTCTCATCCACCCAGTGCCTCTGCGTTTGCATGGATACACAATCATGTTATGTTTGTTCAGAAAGCGGCAAAGCTCATAAGATCCAGTTCATGTGTAATATTCACCTTGGTGGGTCGTTCGGGTTGCGTCTTGTCCGAAGTAGTAGAGGTGCTGCGCTCAGTGGTAGTAGCAGCCGGTGTCGCCGGCGAGCTGAAACAGCACGGGCATAGTCGCGACAGTGCCGTACCCATTGGCAGCTTCTCCGGGAGTGCAACTAGAGCACGGACGTGAGTGAGACAGATTGTGTCTGACATATATATGTACCTGGTTGCGGAAGGTCTAGAAGCCGGAGACTGACCCTGCATTAGGTTAGTGATAGAGAGATCTAATTCCTCTAGCACTGATTAAGCATGGGATCTGGTTCCCACGTGATGAAGTTCAAGAGAATCTACTTTTTTGGCAAATGATAAGTACGCATCATTGTTGCACTGATGCTCTGCTCTGCTTTTTATTGAAATGTCATGCTTGCATTGATGCCCCTTCAGGCTTCTTTGGAGTGGGAGACATGCATGCTTGCTGGCCCAGGTAAATTGGATCCACAGTCCTCGTACTTGCTGGCAAGGTCCGCAATGGTCCTCAAGCTTGCATAGTTCCTCGCTAAGGTCCTCATGCTCGACGATATGGTCCATCTAGGTGGGTCCCATCTACATACACTGCTGTGGGTCTCATCTACATACGCGGCTACCCTCTGTGCCAAGTGTAGAGATAATGCGTGGGTCCCACCTGTCAGCATGCATGTGATGGACGGGCCCGGGCATGTGATCACTACCGGACTCGCGGCCTATGCCGACGGCCCAGGGCCGTCGGCATAGGTCATCTGTCGTCGGCATAGACCCGTCGGCGTAGATCACGTCAGCGTAGTCTTGTCAGACCGTCGGCATTGTTTTGCCGTCGGCATAGGACCCTATGCCGACGGCTACCGTCCGGCCGTCGGCAGTATTTTTCGGCTGACGACAACGGACGGCGCTGTCAAAAGCGCCGATGAATCACGGGAAGCCATGTGGCATAGGTATGCCGACGGTCAAGCCGTCGGCATAGGTGGAGATCTATGCCGACGACTAGGCCGTCGGCATACCTACGCCACGTGGCTTCCCGTGGTGCCTCCTGGAGGCAGGGCTATGCCTACGGCAAAGCCGTAGGCATTGATGAAATCTATGCCGACGACTTTACCGTAGGCATAGGCTTGCCACGTGGTGTCCTCTGGTGCCTCCTGGCGACAAGGCTATGCCTATGGCAAAGCCGTCGGCATAGCCCTGCCACGTGGCAGGCCCTGGGAAGCCCTGGCGCATCTCGGCATATATATACTTATTATTATTATTTTTCCTGTTTTCTCTTTTTCAATTCATTTTGACAGCATTTCAAAGCAGAAAATATGAGATTATGTAGAAATATGACAGTTCATCATCTAAACATACTCAAGTTCATCATCATCATTTAAACATACTCAAGTTCATCATCTAAAGATCATCAACGGCGAAAGTTCATGAACATAAGTAGTGCAAGACATGAAACATCATTTCAAAGTAAGAACATGAAAGGTATGGCACGACATCAAGCAAGACCACCGCCGCCAAAACCACCACCGCCAAGACCACCTCCGCCAAAACCACCACCGCCAAGACCACCTCCGCCAAAACCACAACCGCCAAGACCATCTCCGCCAAAACCACCACCGCCAAGACCAGGATCACGCTGCTACATCGGAGTGACTGGGGTCGACGTAGCAGGAGTTGAGCCACCGGTCCCCTACATGTTTGAGAGAATATTCGAACGGTAAATATGATATGATAGTGTTGAATGAACGAGAACTAGTTTGTCAGTAGTTAGGCAAATGTACTAACCGGACTATCACCGCCTAGTGCCACCCATTCATCAAACGTGGGAATGTGTGGGACTTCTCCCGCAGGTGGTGGTGGGGGTCCAATTTGTGGTGGCTCTGTGCAGTTAGTCCAAGACGCCAACATAGCCTGGATGTTAGTTAAACAAGCAAACTAGAAGGTCAGAAGGAATGAAAGTGAAAATTTTAGCTTGGTTTTAAGAGGGCAAAACTAACCGTCATCGCTTGACGGTTGTAATCCTCATTTTCCTTCACTCGTTGCAAGTACTTCCGCACCTCAATATGCTTATGCTCGAGAAAGGCCTGATATGCCTACAAAATTGAGGTTGTTTCTAAGTGGGCAGTGCTGAAAATAAACTGAGAAAGTTAGAGACAAAGAAGATAAGGGGAAGTACTTACAGCACGCTGGCAGGCTAAGGGAGGCTGCGAACGCCCCATACTCTCTAACGGGCTCGGGTTGGTAGCCCGAAGCTGTGTGTACGAGACCGAAGGAGTGATCAAGCCATCGAAACACGGATACCGGCCATGGGGCTTCCAGTGGATGGCCACCACCGCCGTGTCATCGATCTGAGATTGGGCGACCTCAAGAACAGGAACATCTGGATGCAACTTCTCAAACTGTCGAGTGTAAGACTCCAGGTGCTCCTCGGTCTTGCCGTAGTACCGGCTCTCGCCGTCCATGCGATCACTATGCTCACGGGCCAGCTTCCACGACTCAATGTCTCTGAGAGCGGCCTCTTCAACTTGTCCTCTTGCAACGTCAAACAGAAGTTAGCCATACATAAGAATATGACGGTAAAGAAGAACAAAAATGCATCATGCATATAGATATACCTTCATGGCCTTGAAGCCCCAGTGGTCCTTGTTTCCTTGGCCGTGTGTCCCGTCTCTTCCATGGTTAACCCAGGCCTTGCTGCTCTTGGCAGCAAACTCTACATTGTCACCGACCCACCTATCCACCAAACTCGCCCATCTGTCATCCCTTCCATAGCACCAACGAGGAACAACCTATGCAAATTTTGGAAGCATGACATGTGAGCACGAAACATATAGTTGACTGCTTGAAACAATGAAAAGTCAGTAATAGTTACCTTCATGAACTGCTCCCTGTTCAAGGTAAGTGTCGGTGTCAAAACCGGCGGATCTCGGGTAGGGGGTCCCGAACTGTGCGTCTAGGCGGATGGTAACAGGAGACAAGGGACACAATGTTTTACCCAGGTTCGGGCCCTCTTGATGGAGGTAAAACCCTACGTCCTGCTTGATTGATATTGATGATGTGGGTATTACAAGAGTAGATCTACCACGAGATCAAGGAGGCTAAACCCTAGAAGCTAGCCTATGGTATGATTGTTGTTCGTCCTACGGACTAAAGCCATCCGGTTTATATAGACACCGGAGAGGGCTAGGGTTACACAGAGTCGGTTACAATGGTAGGAGATCTACATATCCGTACTGCCAAGCTTGCCTTCCAAGCCAAGGAAAGTCCCATCCGGACACGGGACGAAGTCTTCAATCTTGTATCTTCATAGTCTTGGAGTCCGGCCGATGATGATAGTTCGGCTATCCGGACACCCCCTAGTCCAGGACTCCCTCAGTAGCCCCTGAACCAGGCTTCAATGACGATGAGTCCGGCGCGCATATTGTCTTCGGCATTGCAAGGCGGGTTCCTCCTCCGAATAATTCATAGAAGATTGTGAACACTAGTATAGTGTCCGGCTCTGCAAAATAAATTCCACATACCACCGTAGAGAGAATAATATTTACACAAGTTCAATCTGCTGACGTATTTTGTGGCGTGACGTCACACCACAACCAAGCCTTTACTCGAATTGTTTTTATTATACCACCTCCGCGCGTCTAGCGAAGCGTTTTCCTTGGCACGTCTTGTTGAAGCAGAGATCGTGTTTCCCTTATCCCGGGATTCTTATCAATACGGACGTGGGTAACCCAACCGCGCCCGTTACCACGCCCCCTCCATCGAAGGCGAGTTCCAAACGATCATGGGGACGGCTCTTGGTATTCTTCCTCTTTATAATGAGACCAAGGCCCGTTCTTTTTCTCCAATCCTCAATCGAATCCGCCCCTCGCCCCGAGTTCCAACACCCAGGGCTCCAGATTCGGGTACTTTCGACCTTCGACAATGTCTGGCTCCGACCTACGAGGCCGGTGGATGCCTTCCTCCGTCACGGAAGAGGATGTGCTAAAGCTGAAAGATGCCAGGTACTTAACCTACGAGATTTCGCATAGGTTGCCTGCCCGAGGGCAAGTTATTCCCACTCCCGAGCCCGGTGAGAGTGTCGTGTTCGTGTCTCACTTCCGTCGGGGTTTAGGCTTCCCGATGGATCCCTTCATGAGGGGGCTCATGTTTTACTATGGGCTGGAATTCCACGATTTGGCTCCGGAGTCCATCCTCCACATCTCATCTTTCATTGTCGTCTGCGAAGCCTTCCTCCGCACTACCCCTCACTTCGGCTTGTGGCTCAAAACCTTCAACGTGGAGCCGAAGATGATTGAGGGGCGTCAGGCAGAGTGCGGAGGGGCGGTTATAAGTAAGAGGGCCGATGCTCCATGGCCCGAGGGCTCTTTTCAGGAGGATCTCGGCTTGTGGCAACAGGAGTGGTTCTATATCACCGCTCCCAGGGGCAGCAGGCAGAGGCCGCCGTCCGCCTTTCGCCCGGGCCCTCCACAACGGCTGACGTCATGGGTCAACAAAGGGCTTGACTGGGGGCCGTCCAAAGACGTCCCCCTTTTGCAGGGCCGGATTCGAGACCTCCAAGAAAGGAGATCAATCTGGTCATAGTGACAGAGGTTATGCTGATTCGGCGCCTTCTGCCCTGCAAACGTCACCCTCTCCGCCTGTGGGAATTTAATCTGGAGGGACCACGAGCTCTCCAACACTTCATGGGTTTGACACCCGTGGAGATGTACAAACTGTTCTTCGGATCGCAAGAGATGCGTCCGGACTTGACCGAGGACGCTGGCCTAAGCTACAATCGCCCGGATTCTCAAGTAAGTAGCCCTGTGTCCGGACACATTGTCCATTCATCTATCATGGGTTTGCCTTTTAACCAGCTATCCCTTGGACAGGAGTGGATAGCGCAAGCAAAGCTGATATGGTGTCCGGCCCCCCTCCCTGAGACCACGCCGGATCCCGTATTAATCAAAATGTTGGAGGTTGCACCCTCGGAGGATGGCGAAGGGGGGCACAGGGAAACTACCACCTCTGCCAAGAAGGCTTTCAGTAAGGGGGGAATCGAGAGTCCCTCCCTTCAGGGGGAGAAGAGGACCGCTTCCGAAGACCCGGAGGCCAAGGCCTCAAAGCGGGGAAAGAAATCTGCACCGGAAGGTCCTGTGCCGGGAAGAGCCCCGACCGCACAGTCTCCCCAAAGGAATCAGCCCTCTAGCGAGCCGTAAGTA